TTGTTGTTGATAAAATTATTGTCTTTGTGTTTGTCATTATCAATGTCATTTTCATTATCAGTGGCTGCACCATATTCTAGGGGCGCCATATTATCTATAAGGGACCCTTATCTGGGTAGTATATTATGTTAAGGGGTACCATACTCTGTTATCCAAGAGGACCCTATACTCTGTATCTCTGTTATCCTGGGATCCTATACTCTCTACCTTTGGGAGCGTGCTATCCAAGAGGGCCCTATACTCTCTACCTTTGTCAACGTGTTATCCAAGAGGGCCCTATACTATCTATCTTTGGGAGCGTGTTGTCCAAGAGGGCCCTATACTCTCTACCTTTGTCAACGTGTTATCCAAGAGGGCCCTATACTCTCTACCTTTGGGAGCGTGTTGTCCTGGCGCGACCCCCATTGCTTGCCTGAGGTGCTGATCATCATTTTGGGGAAGTAACCATCCTCGATGGGAATGCGCCAGTTGTCTAGCTTCTTCACCCTCGGGAGACCAAGGCAGAGACGCTCGATGTCGTATCTGTTAGTGGGCGTCGAAATTACTAGGTGGCTTTGAAAGGAGCCTTAGAAAATGGGGACTTACCATTATCAGAAGGAAATGTTAGCTAGAGTGATAAGAAGTGGGAGAAATACCATTGGTTGAACACATAGCGGGGACATTACAAGTTGCGAAATCTTTTGGCTAAACACAGGTCGGAAATAGAGAACGTGAACTGCTCTAGACTACGAAATTTCGAACGCAAAACAAAAAGAAAACAAAACTAGCAAAGTACCTTCTGGCTGAAGAAATATCATAGATCGTAAAATTCAAATACAAAACAGACAACAATACAAATTAGAAATGGACCGAAAATTCGCTGGGTTCTTTAGTATTCGCATTCGCTCTGCCATTTTTTTTGTAACTGTGCGAATATTTCCCCGAACGTATTAGAATGAAGAAAAATGATAATATAAGGGAAGACCAGTTAAACGAAGAAGCAACCCTGTTACGGTCATCTCTCACTTCTCAGTCAGTGGGTCTTGAGCCGGAAGCATAAGGACACACATAGAAAGTTGGATAGACTTCAATTTAGTTATTCTATATTCTGTTTCCGAACTCTTGCAATTTGTTCGAAACTGATTGAATAAAGGAAATATAACCTAAATGGTTATTCAATTCAGTTATAGTAGACTATTTGAAAATCATGTAATTCCGGTATTTGAATTATATGCATGACTTCTTGGTTGAAATAGATATTATTATCATTATCATTATTATTATTATTATTATTATTATTATTATTTTTATTATTATTATTATCATTATTATTGTTGTTATTGTTGTTATTATTATATAATATGGATTGGATTGGAATAACTGAAATTCGTATTCTCATTAGCGAATGCTAAAATAAGAAAATCGCATTAGCTAATGTGAAAATTGTTCATTCTTACCATCTCTGGAAAAAAAACTCAAGGTCGCACAAAAAATATATCAAATAATAAACGAACTTCTTTACAGATCGCACGAAAAAATTCAAATACAAAACAAACGCAAAAAAAAAGAAAAAAGAAAAAAAGAAACAAAAAGAAACGGATTCCAACAACTCGTTCCACCTTACGAAGATTCTCACAAAACGGTTTTCAAATGATTCACTTACCTGGCGATGATTTGCTGGTGCATGTAGTAAAACAATTCCCCCTTCCTGTCACGGTCAAAACCCATGCCAGGCGGGTAGATCAAGTGCCAGTGCCAGTGGTGGACGTTGATGCCATAGTCCTCTCGCCAGTAAGAGAGCCTGTGTTCTGGCTTGAGATGAGTGCCAGAGAACTCCAGTCCGTGTTCTATGATCACGGGTTCAGTCTGGGAGGGTTGTGATTTTGTTATGAGTGTCATTATGGTTATTGTTGTTATTATTGTTATTATTATCATTAGTGTTATCATCACAATTGTCATTATTATTGTCACAACTGGTATCTTTATCATTGCTGTAATTATTATTATTATTATTATTATTATTATTATTATTATTATTATTATTATTATTATCATTATCATTATTATTATTATTGTTATTATTGTTATTATTATTATTACTAATATTACTATTATTATCATTATTATTTCTATTATTATCATTATTATTTCTATTATATCATTATTATTACTACTACTACTACTACTACTATTATGATTATTATTAGTATTTTTATATTTACTATTATCATTATTGTTATTATTATCATCATTATTGTTACCGTGATAATAATAATGATAATGATAATGAAATAATGATAATGGTAATATTAAGATTATTAGTTATAATGATAATAATAATAATAATGATAATAATAATAATTATCCTAATAATAATAATAATAATAATAATGATAACAATGATAATAATAAGGATAATAATAATAATAATAATAATAATAATAGTAATAATAATAATAATAATAATGATAATAATAATAAGATGATGATAACTGTTATTATTATAGTTAGATTAATGACA